TTYYTTWAGTACCAGGCATCGGAATATTCAAAGATCATTAAAGTTTCGAAAACAAAGGTTAYGGCRGCATAATTAGAAAATTTGGCCATTGGATAAGAAATTGTAGTTGGCTATAGGGTAAATTTAATTGTTCCAAATAAGGAAATGAGATGCAAATTAGATTTGAATGTTCCAACGGTTGGCACGGGCAATTACACGTTTCAGGTCCCTTATGGGTTTCTGGTATGGAATATTTTCAATTACAACAATCTTTTAAAAATTAAAATGAAGAACTTGGATTATAACAAGTTCAATTTTATCCYAAGTCTGTTATAATATATATATAACTTGCTTTTATATATAACTTGGTATGAAATTAAGCTTGTTATAATCCAAGTTCTGCTTTTTGTATGGCCAGGCAGTGCAATTTTTAAATTTTAATTTTTTAAAGAATGTTGTATATGATACAAATTTTGTAAATTCAAAATCATGAAACTAGTAATGATAATAATAATCCTGCTAAATAATGTTTTCAGGCAAGAGAGACGAGTCTACTATATGCATCGATACAAAGCAAGAAAGTTTCCACAAAAGTACATGACCATAATAGATGATGGTATGGACCAAAAGACAACTAATATCCCCAAAGTCCGAAGAATCAGCAAAGCTTTGTCATCACTCACCAATGTTAATACACACCTTGTTGGTGCCATCGTCCATAGTGGCCAAGCGACACATGGCAAAGAGATATATGGGTCCTTTGATTTTTACCAGTGGCCACATGATTCAAATCTAAATATGACTGTYCTGCTAAGCACTTTGATGGAGTGGTGTAAAAACTACAAGCTGCCCCCAATACTTTATCTTCAAATGGATAATTGTTGGCGGGAGAACAAAAATCAGTTTATGTTGGCACTCTTAGCTTTGATGGTTCAWAAGAAAATATTTGAAAAGGTTGGTAAAACAAACATTGCTTTTGAAAGATTTTTGCTCATTTTTGGWGTCWGCCAGATGAATAACTAASGTAATCATTCAATTTTCAGTAAGACCTAAATGTGAAATTATGTGTATTAGCTATAAGTATTAGATATTATTTTACTAATTGCTTTTGATTGTATTCTAGATTCGCTTAAACTTTCTGCCAGTTGGGCATACACACGAAGATATAGATGCTTTCTTTGGTGTTTTCTCAAAGTATCTGGACAAAAATGACATATACACAATTGAAGGTAAGCAGATTTTTAAAAATAATAAAAAAAAATTAATAAAAATTAACTTTTACTAAAAAATAAAAATTACATGTAACTTTTACTGTGGTCACAAAAAATGTTATATTATTTAAATATCAAAATGATTTCTTGTATGTAAAAGATTTTTTTTTCTAATATGCTTCTTTGAGACCTTGTTAGTGTTCGATCACTGCTTTTTTACATACTTTATTAATGTTTTCTACTTTATGGTTTMCAGATCTACKAATAGCCTTGGAATGCTGTATGAATAATCCAAGACCAAAGTCGTTCATGTTGCCGCATTCATATGACATCAAAAATTGGATAACTGGCCATGCTAAYCCAATGAATAATCACACCAAACCGAAGTGCTTTAAATTTGAAGCAAATAGCAATGGGGAGRTTGTGATGTTATATCGAAACTGGAGTCACGAGGAGTGGTTTAGCCCTTTTGTTGTTCTTAAGGTATTTGTTATTTTTTACATTTTAGTTACATTTAATATACAGTAACTATCTTTTAAATGCCTGCTTTAATAAAAACTCTTAACTTGACATTAAACTGTGTTGGAAATTTGATATGAAATTTTGGTGAACTGATCTATCCAACCACAGACTGTACCAACTATTRATCCCATTCCATAAATTTTAAAGCATGAAAACATTCAAAACTTTTTTTTTACAGAGTCTCCCTGACGAGAAGCCTGGCCTTGTGCCTGCCAAATTSGAAAAGCTCGATCCTGAAGAGCTATCAAGAGATCTACCAAAATATGCTGGCCATATTCCAGAACTTGCCTGTAGCTTTTGGCAGAATTGGCTGGAAAATGTTGATTCACTATTGGCTACACCAGCTCAATATGATTGGGTMMTTGACATATTATCAAGGGATGCAGTAAGAACGGAGCCTTTGCCARCAGTAGAGGAAGTGATGTTAGAYGTTAGAGCTATTCGAGAAAAAGAGCTGGAACCAACAAGAGAGGTGAGAGTGCAGATGTTATCCACTGTTTAAAAATGTTATCCAGACATAGGATATCAATTATTTGCCAGAAYGTTTCGTAATACTTGCTTTTTAAGTATGAGTTTCCAATTAACTACATAAGAGTTTTTACTATTGCTTTTTATAGGGCTTGCTTTTGGAATGCCATTTCCTTTGATATTCAATTATAAAGYGATTGTTAGTGTATATTTGAATCTGTAATTGTTACAGAAAAAATACAAGATAGAACTGTAAAATAATATTGCATTTAAAAMTGTTTTTCCATCACTGTCAGATATATTCAGGCCCATACAGAAACCGCGTACAAAGAGAGAATCCAGTTGAGAGAACRGATAGCTACCTTGAAGGACTTTCAGAGGGTTCCTTTGTGGCATTGTTATTGGCCAATTACAATGTCACACCAGCAATTGGGAAGGTGCTAGAAGTKACWGAAAACAACTTCAAGGTCCATTACTGGAAAGGGACATATAATGGCAAATGGGTGCCCCAACATGTTCCAAGGCAAAAACACCAGCCTTGGGTTGAGTGGCTACCAAAAACKTGCATTGTATGTTGCAACTTTTSTCTAACWGAGGGAGACAAACTTAAGCCRACAACCAGAAATTTCCTTAAAACACAATATAATGAATTGACAAAGCAGTCATAATTGAATAGGTGGGCGTACAGTAGTTTGKTTAGATCCAAAATATCAAATTCTAAGAATAAGCAATCTGAACATGTG